ATCCCAGTTTCGGTACTTGACTACGTGCGATCGACGAAGCAACGTTGCTCTTCTCGAAAAAGAGAAGATGCAGCAAGCTTAAGATGCTTCGATCCGATCGACACGAAATTTTTACCTGCCGAAGAGCGGAAAGTTACGAAGTATCGAAGCGTGGGTATATATCGGCACTCGTGTGAAATTATCATCATTACACACAGAAAGGGCATATCTTTCAGATACGAGTTATCGCGTTGTCGCGCGAGCAACGACTGAACTCTAGTTGAAATCTTCTTTCACCGGAAGTGGCTACGTTCCGGTGTGGCACGGTTCCGTAGACGAGCATTCGATTGTTTGCAAAAATTGCATTCAATCAAGTGACTTGCAGAAACAGTTATTTGTGCCCGCAGCACCTAATAAAGAGCCAGTTTTCACTGTAAATTGAACAACATCTTAACTTGGCTGTTAAAATGACGAAAGGTGATTGACTCAACTAAAAGATTGACTCAGCTTAATAAAAAGAAGACATAACTCAATCAAAGATAAAACGATGATGAGATTCAATCGGACAGATAGAAAACAGGAGATCTTTTTTTCGATTTTTAAGACGGGAGAAACGGCCGTCTACGTGGAAGTAGAAAATCGACTCGAAAAATCGGATGGAGGAAGCAGCAAGTTAAAATAAGCCTGGCTCGTTCTCTGTCGCTTGACCAGCAGGGACGAGAGAGACGGAAACATAGTCTTTATAAGATGCTACCAAAAATACACTGACGGCTAATAGAAGGCGGGCTGGCGCGTACCAAGGGTTTATACGCTCGATGCTTGTTTTCGTTACCAAACAAGCAGCAAATGGATGAAAAAAGGAGATCGATATCGCTCCTAGATACAAATTACTGGTGGTGTGTAAACGATGCTGAGAAAATAAACCAATAGATACGTGCTGTTTTAACTAAATTACTTAATTAAAGGGAGGCGTCAGCCAGTGCTGTACAATACAGCTTGTTAATTTCATCGTTGAACAAATTTTCCTAGCCAAGCTACCAATTTTATCCGTAGTTTTGTGATGACCGGATATAAGCTGTTAGCTTGATAATTGAGTGGTTATCATAAAAATTGGTCGAACGATGGTAGAAACTAGCCTCGTTAAATTTCACGGACAACTTGCACAGAAATTGCACGATATGTTTTTAAAACAGCTGGAACCAGACCGCAACGTGCCTTGCCATACATTCTCTCGCCTATTCGACCATGCGTATATACGTGGGTTACGGTACGCTCAATTGATCGAAATTGGCTAATTCGTCGAAGCTAAAACTATCCTACTACCCAATCTGGCTAATTATCCGGTGTATTGACCTACAGTAGTTCTCATGTCGCATCATCGAAAGTAAGAAATTGCTATATAAACGTCCTGACGAATTAAGATGTAGATGTAGAGAAAAAGTAAGAATAAACTGACTTGTAAAAGTCAGTTGTTCCCTTGCAGTAATTAATTCGTCAGTGATTAAAACACCGGCCAAATTATGCTTATCAATGACGAAGGTGACCGTATATGGTGTTGGTTTTACGTCCGCTGAGATGTAAGGAATCGGTTGCCGGTCTCACGTGTGTTTCGTCTCTCTACCGAGAGCTGTGGGAGCTCTCCTTTAGCATATAAAGGGTCGCGTCCATACGTTCGTCGTCGTGGCGAAACTAGTTCGGCCGTCCAGTTTTTCCACTCTCGTGCACGCTTCAGTCGTGCTCTCTTCAGTAGTGGGAGACCACATCTCGAGCGGTCGCGTTCCTTACAACGACACGCTAATAATCCCGCAACTTGTTGCTATTCCGTCGCTTCAAAGTCTATCGATCGTCTCAACAACGTGCCGCGACCGATCCGGATCCGATATTTTGAAAAACGAAGTACAAAATAATGTTTTGTTCCAAAAAAAAAAAAAAAAAACCTATATGGTTTTTAGGTTATAAAAGAGCCTTAATGTGGCTCTCAGATTCTGCGTACAACAATTTATAGAGTATCACGTGACAATTTCATCTATCACGTGTTATAAATTCATTTGAATTTTCAATTTCTGCGCGCTTCTCCCCTCAATCGTACGACTGGGAAATAATCTCCGAGATATCCCTACGCGATTTATTAAAAAAGTACGATAAGTTTAGAAGACTCACCGAGATCTTCGACCAGTCGGAGCATGACACCGCCGATGTGCAGTTCTCCTTTTACTCGTAAGCTTCTCTCCATTTGAAGATTGGTCACGTAAACACACAACACCCAGCTACCGTCCACCTCATGACCGTCGGAATACATGTTTCTCGATCTCGATCGATCGTGTGTCAAAAAAAAAAAAAAAAAAAAAGTCAAATTAGAAATAAGCACGATGGGACGTTCAGTCCCGGGCACTCGATTTCGAGAAGAAAATTTCGTTTCTAAGGCGCGGAAATCATGATTTCGCGGCACTTGACATCGCCGCGAACACACCTCAGAAATATTCGTTGTTCGATAAGAAGGAAATTGCAATTGTGATCTATCGGTACCACAGTACCAGTAGATTTCACAACTTCTCGAGCAAACTCGGTCCGACCAAGTGTGCGCACTTGCGATACACTGGCTGCCTTGATCGGACTCGCACAAATTCGTTCCAAATACTGTGTAGAGGCGCTCCAATCGTCAGCCCCACGGCCCCACGTTTCAGTTGGTTCCTCGACTGGTGTCGACCGTGCACTCTCGGCTTGGCTACACTCTCTTGCCGAGAATAGAACTATTTACAAGTAACGCGCGCTTGGAATGCGCGCGCAGATCTCTCCCCGTCGCGTCCCGCGCGTGCGGTAACCCGTCACACAACTTGGTTTCCTTTCCCTCCGTGTCTACCGACACCGTGGCCTTACTGTTTCGTCGTTTTTCCTTTCCTATTTCATTGCTTTTGAGTGCTCGTCGTCCTTCTCGATCCTCTCGTCGATGATGCTCCGCGTGCTGAGCTGTTCTCTCTCCTTTCCTCACCAATACGCCGCCTTCTTCCTTTGCACTGCTACAGCATATTCCGAAGTATCGTATGGACCTTCTTTATCCAGATTTTACATCTTCCAAATCCAGTCCTTTCTTTCAACAAGGTAATTTTCATTTGTTAATTATTTTTTATGATGCTTGAACAGTGATGCTTGAGCATGTGATCTTTATGATTCTGTTATATATACATACTGCTATTCTGTACAATTGTCATTGGAAGACTTGTAGAAAAAATTTATAGAATGATATTTTAAAATATTTGAATATTTTTAATCTTTTTTTCGTCTTTAGTCGGGTCTTATAACGTATGTACAATATTACGTTTCAAATTTGTAAGGTCAATTCTGATTGGATATCATTATAACGAGGTATAGATTATATCGAAGCATTTTATAGGTCCTTGGGTTACGTGTTCTGTAATTACCAACTTCTAAAAAATTCAATCACAGACGAGGTATTCATATACTCAGTCTCTGATTCAACTATTTTTTACGTTCTTTATAATTTGCTGTAATAAACATAAACATATTCGTTTCAATTGTAAAATCATTAGCTACGAAAAGATCTTTGGTTTTTAAGCTCTCCAAACGAAATTTGATAGTCTAATGTTAGCCAATATTAATTAAAACTTTTGATGCTATATTATCTGCAAAAATATTAACTCAATATTTCAACCAACTGCACCTGATAGCGCTAGTAGGCAAGTATACTGTAGAGTTCTTCTTTTACCTACTTTATCATGTTAAATTCTTCATGAATCGAGATTGAAAGAAACAAAATATTTATATACATAAATTTCGTTTAAACATTCGTAACGATATAAAGGATTTTGTGAAGTATCATTTGAACAAATGAAAACGTAAGATTATCTATTTTCTTCAATAAAAATAAGAAGTATAATTTAAGGTTAGAATTTGGTAAATTATGTTATGTTGTGTGTATTTTTCTTTTTCGTGAAGGTCAAATTTGAATAAAATTTGGTTCTTATTCTGATGGTATTTGCAATGATCATACACCTCAAAAAATTTATTTTGCCATTCCGTAAGCTGAATAAATTCGGAAAGGTACAAAAACAATTTATTAGATGTGATTCTTCCGAATCTTCATCCAGAATTTTAGAACAATTAAAAAATAAAAGTTTATTACGGATCAGAGGAAATGAAGCTTCAGTTTTTTTACAAGGATTAATTACAAACGATATGAAGCATTTCGAAGAAGGAGCAGCAAATTTATATGCATTATTTCTAAATATTAAGGGTAGAGTAATGTGTGATGTGATTATCTACAAAAGTCAAGAAGATAATGTGTATTATGTTGAGTGTGATTCACAAGTTGCAGAACCATTACAGAAACATTTAAAAATGTATCGTATTAGAAGAAAAATAGACATAGATCAGTTAGGAGATGAAATAAATGTTTGGGTATTCTTTGATCCTACTCAATATATGAATAATAAGCATAATGATAATAATAAACAAAAACTTGAAGGTTTGATATTTCCATGTGGAACTCTTAATAATAAAGTAAGCAAAATAGTTGAGAATATTATGATATACGAAGATCCTAGACTTCCAGACTTAGGCATTAGAATTTTAGCAGCATCAACAATTGAGCGACAAGTGATAATAAAGCACTTGAATTCAAATGTAGTAGATTCTATTAATAACTTGAATTACAAAGCATTTCGGTATAAACTTGGTGTACCAGAAGGTATTGAAGATTTACCACCAGGAAAAGCTTTGCCACTAGAAGTAAATTGTGATTATTTACATGGCGTTAGTTTTCATAAGGGCTGTTACATTGGTCAGGAACTTACAGCTCGTACTTACCATACTGGTGTTGTAAGAAAACGTTTAATGCCTCTATTATTTAATGAAATTCCTAATAAATCTGTTTCATATGATGATAAAATTGTTAATGAATCTGGTAATGCAATAGGTAAATTTAGGGGAATTGAAAGTCAATATGGGTTGGGTTTAATGCGAATTATTGAATCTCTGAATGCTCAATCTCTTACTGTATCAGATATTAAGTTAAAAGTATCAAAACCTATGTGGTGGCCCCAAGAATCGCAAAAACTTTCTGTTAATAAAAAGGAATAAATGTTTTTAATTTATTACTCTTTAACGTTTGTATATACACATATATGTATATGTATATATATATATATAAAATTGTAATCTATAATTGTAAAATAAATATGTTGCCAAAAAAAAATTATAGATTATTTTCCATTGATGTTACTTTATAGGATGGAATCTATCGCTAGTACATCTATGGATAAAACTCGTATTGAGCACAGTCAAGGTTTAACATCGGCAGTTCAAGATTCTAAAGAAATTGTAACTGGAGTATTCAAGTGCTCTTATTGTTCATTAGAAGAACGCTTTGATTTCAAGGGTATCAAAGCGCCATTCTCACGGCAATTAAGCTATACAGAAGAATGTTATATTATGAAAGATCCTTTTAGTTTGCCAAATAAAGGGGAAGTTTTAGTATTAGGAGCTGATTGTAATTTTTGTAAGAAAACTGTATGTTTAGAATGCAGTATATATTTTGGAAAACGATTTTGCTTAAAATGTGCATCAAGTAATGTACAAAATTTGCCGTCACAACTGCATTCGAAAATAAAGAATTTAATAAAGGAGAAAGATTCATAAAAAAAATACTTTATTGAACATTTTGTTTTGCTTCGACATTTAAAAAGTTTTAAAAACACTTAACTGCTTTGATTTTATATTTTCTTCCACAAATAAAATTCAGTCAGTTTTGAAAATGTTCAAGTTAGCAGATTTGTTTAATTTAGTGGTTTCCTAGGCTTAGCCATAAGTTTTTCTGCGAGAAATTTCTTCTTTTTGTCCAATTTATTTTTTCTTTCCTTTTGATTTCCATCAGCTTTTTGGCCTTGAAACTTATTTTCTTGTTGTGGACTAATTTCTGTTTTTTCAAGTTTTCGCTTTATTATTCTTTTTTTAGCATTTTCTTTACTATGGACCTGAAAAATATGCATATATATAACATTAAAGCTTCAATAATTGATTTATGATTCAATATTTCTTAAAGCTACATACTTCTACTGGTAATTGTGCATTATTCTTTGATTTTTTATATAAAAAACTGTGACTATCTTCTGCGGAATATGCTCTCTTTCCATGTTTTCTTTCTTTGTTTTTATTTTGGTCAATATATGGTTTTACTCTAACTTCTCTATTTAAAATGGTGGTGCCATTAAGTTCTAAAGCTAATGCAACAGCATCTTTGCTCTTAAAATTAACGTATCCAAATCCTTTGCCAACTCTACTGTCTTTGTCTTGAACTATTCTCACAGATTCTATTTCACCACACTGTTTAAAATGTTTCCTAATTGTATTAATGTCAATGTCTGAAAATTATAGTGTATTATAGTATTAAATAATTTTATGCTTACTCTTTACTACTTTTATTCTAATATATTTACTTACTAAAATGTAAGTTTCCTATGAATACAGCTTTTTTTGGATCATAGTCATTATCTGATTTGTGACTTGCACGCACTTGTAAATAATTTCCTTCAAATATTTCTCCATTTACAGACAAAGCTTTTTTAACAGACTCTTCAGATTCAAATTTAACAAATGCATAAATTGATTTCAATTTAGAATGTAAATCATTCGTGATAGCTGCAGTTCGTTTTGGTATATTTAAAGATTTTGGTATTTTACCTCTTAAACGTACAGTATCAATTTTCCCAAATTTCTTAAATAACTTCTCTACTTTTTTTTTTGTAATATTCTTTGGGAGGTTATTGACAAAAATTGTTCGTTTATCTTTTTTTAAATCTTCTAAGTAAGAATCCTCTTCACCAGAATTATTTATTGAATTACTTTTTTCAACTTTTTCTTCCTCTGATTCTTCATCTTCTTCATCACTTATATCGTCATCTTCATCATTATCAGTTGGCTCAATAAAATCATCATCATCATCATCATCAACAATACTATTACCCAAAAGTACTTTTAGACTCAAAGATTCATTAGCCTCTTCTTCACTTTCTGATTCCTCATCTTCTTCTTCACTCTCTGCTTCTTTATCCTCTTCTTCCTCCCCTAGTTCCTCATCTTCTTCATCATAACTATTATCACTATCTGCTTTATCTTCATCGTCGCTGTCATCAGTTGTAAAATCTTCTACATTATCAATGAAATCAGTGCTCTTATTTGATTTTATTCCACCAAACATTTTTACTCTTTTCTTTATTTGTACATCCTTGTCGTCTTTATAATCTTCATCATCCTCATCAGATTCATCAGCTAGACTGGTTCCAAGAATATTTGACAAGGTTCTTTCTTCTTCGCTTTCACTGTCATCAGATGATTGACTTTCATCACTATTTTCCATTATGCTATCTTGTAATACAATTCCTTCATTGATGTCATCTAAATCAGATTCATTCTCTTTGGCTTTTATTGAATTCTTTTTTTTTAATTGTTTTGTAGATTTTTCTTGTTTTTTAATATTTTTCTTTTTTAATCTTTTATCCATTTTCTGAGGTGTATTATTTTCCATGCTGTTATTATCTAACAGTTTCGATTCATCAATCAATACAACTTTTCCAGTTGGTGTTTGTTTGGATTTTTGATTTTTTTTCTTTTGTACAAATCCATGTTTTAGCGTGTTTAGAAAGTTTTTAGAAGTTAGATCTTTATTTTCCTTTAATAGTTTAACCATTTTTATTAAGAACTTTATGTAGTCGTTTGAAGTAAAAGTTATTCTGTTATAAATACAAAAAACTGATTAAAGTTTTTTACATATTTTTATTCTGTTTCAAATAATTTAAATTTCATTCAAAGTCGTTAATTCCACGTGTAATACATTGTGCACTAGTTAGTTGATTTGATACAAACTATTGATAATTAAATCATCAAATATTAAAAATTAATTATTAATATATTTGATAAGAAATAACATTAAATACTCACCACAAATACGTGTATACAAGACAAATCGTCAAAAAATAGTAACTTAATCTCAATACACCGATTCAGAATCAAAACGCTTCAGCGCCAACAGGAAGAACAGACTCAGCCATTAATATTTTATATCGGTTTTTCAAATATCAACGTACTAACGTAAGACGAAATTCTCTACGTCAGAACATTTCAAATAAAATTTCCCTATCTAACAGTTGATTGTAATACTGTAGCTTTTAACTATATTTAAAATTGTTATAAAATATAAACACTCTAACTACAAAATAAATATATACATATGTTGTATTACTAAATGTGATTTATTGCAGTGTTATGTGTAAATGTTATATCAATCTGGAAGAAGAGGTTATGTTTGAAAGTATATTTATGATCTTGTAAGATCCTTAATTTATATAATCGTTCGTTACGCAAATTAATATATTGATTTTTGAGGAAGATTTAGGTAAATTTTCGTCCACATTATGTTTTTCTATGATAATATAGAATTAGGTTAATTATTGAACTAAGTGCAAGCTGCTAGAATCATGTGATTGTATTTTTCATATTTCAGGTACTTTATTTATGTATAATGGATGAAACAGAATTGTTTCATATTTTTCTTCAAATACACCAACCTCAATTAGAATCGTCTGGGGTACCAAGAATATTCTGGTTTACTTTGTTAAAAAAACTTCAATATCAAACATTTGACTCTGGTTTGATGTTTCAGTTGATGAAAGTTGATTATGACAATGATAAGAAAGATTCAAAAGATCCTGTTTGGAAGCTCTTTGTTTCATGCGAGAAAGGTATTTCTGCTCGGGATTCAAATAATATTTTTTTGATAGATCATGCATGGACATATGATGTCAACAATGCCAAGCAAAATTTATCAACGATACCAGATTTGTTAGATCGTATGTGTTCTTTAATGGGTTTTGACATTGATGCAAATAAAGATGAAAAAATAGATTTTGTATTAAATGAAATGTGGAGATACAATCAATCTTTTTCTGTAAGTAGTGGATCGATAGAGGATAAAATGCCAATTTGGTATATCATGGATGAAGTTGGATCAGCAATAAATCATAGTGATGAACCCAACTTTAGAACAGTGCCATTTTTATATTTACCAGAGCGTGTTACTTACACTCTTTTGTTTCCTATAGAAAATGTTGATTGTAACGGAGAAGTCACAAGAGACTTTGTAGAAGGTCAAACAAATAACAAAAGAATTCGGCAAGCTTTATTGTTACCTTGGATAGAAACATCATTTATCGAAGAAGGTTTTTTGCAAATAGAACCGAACGAAAATTACTTTTTAGCAGGACATATTCGTGAAAGTTTACCAGATATAGTGGACATTAACTGTCGAACACATGATACGAAATTAAGAGTTTTTTCACAATATGCATATGTAAATGAATATCTCGATGACCCTAGATTTGAAATTGTTAACAGTGAACATCAGGCGGATATTTTGTGGTACACCTCACATTTCAAGGAATATAAAGAACTAAGCTTTCAATCGCCATATGTTTTCGTGAACCAATTTCCATTTGAGAATGTTCTGACTATTAAAGATTTATTGTCGATTATATGTAGACGAAAGGCGACGGAAAGATACTTTGCTCCTGACACACTTGAAACTTATCCAAGCTGGCTACCAACTACTTTCAATTTAAATACAGAATTGGTGCAATTTGTCGCATACTTTGAACGAAGGAAATCAATGGGTTTAGACAATCATTGGATTTGTAAACCTTGGAATCTTGCTAGAGGATTAGACACACACATTACAAAAAATTTGTCCTATATTTTACGATTGCCTAGCACAGGGCCGAAGATCGCACAAAAATATGTTACGAATCCTGTTTTATACAAAAGGCCGGAAATTGGGAAAGTTAAGTTCGATATACGATATATAGTGATGCTTAAGCGTGTAAAACCTCTGAAGGTGTTTGCCTATAAAAACTTTTTCTTAAGATTTGCGAATAAAGAGTTCGCTTTAAATAATTTCGACGTGTACGAGCAACATTTCACGGTTATGAATTATTCAGAGGACACGCCACTTTGTCACGTAAAGTGTGCGAACTTTATCGTAGAATGGCAGAAGCAGTACCCCGACTTTTCATGGAAAGAATATGTCGAGCCAAAAATCTTCCACGTATTCAAGCAGGTTTTCGAGGCTGCAGTCCAGGAAAAACCACCGAAAGGAATTGCGGAAAGCCCACAAAGCAGGGCTGTATACGCGATCGATTTGATGCTCGAGTGGAATAAGAAAACGATACAGCCCGTCTTATTGGAAGTTAATTTCGCACCTGATTGTAAACGAGCTTGCGAGTATTATCCAAATTTCTACAACGACATATTCAAATGCCTGTTTCTGGACATTAATAATCCCGAAGTATTTCACGATGTATCCATATAAAGAATATAAAGTATAAAGTATAAAGAACAGAATTAAATTTCCTCGATGTACAGTGGCCTGGCATATTCGAACGGCAAATATCGAAAAACTATTAACGACCGTTCCGTGATAAACACATTATGACCAAGCACATTTATTTATTCAAAGCTGGCGAATCTTGCATTTCGTATGCAGTAATGAGCCGAAGTAACTCCAGTAAATCTGCATACGCGAACGTTAAGGGTATATTTGCCGCGTAAATAATTTGTATCTACCATAACTTGACGCCACAGCGGGAAGACTACTGTAGTACCTAATGGAATAATAAACGAGAGGGCAATTGGAACAGTTACACAACAGCTCACTTCGGTCATCACGTACTCACGAGCGTTATAATCAGAAAGCAGAAAGAAGCGCATAACGATAATGCCAAATTTTTTTCGATACGATATCAGTTCTCCCGGGAGAGCACGATCAATAAATACGCAATAAAGATTGACATATCAAAACGTACAAAATTGACCGTAATTATTTTCTCGATCATCCATTTATGATTACTTGTTGAATATTCCATGTTGATTTTTTTCAATTACTTCGGATATGTTAAATGGAGAATCAAACTTCCTGGAAATATTGCATCGGACTTATATAAACGATCGCTTTTATTTTCGTTGTTCTATTTCTACCTGTGTACATTTATTTTTACATGCAGCCTTTATCGTGTTGTTTTACGCTGTCGGCGTGACGACGCGATTTTATCGGTTACCTTTGGCTTTCAAATGGTCAGCTGGAAAATTGACTGTATTATTTACCTATATTTTTTATGCAGGTTACTTTGCTTTCCAACAGTGATTGTCGTAGATCTCCATAGAATTTGGAAACTTTCATACCAGCTTATGATTTTTACGTATATGCGCAAATATAATTTCGCAGTTTCATCTCGCGTGCGAGGGCATGATCAACCGCAACGATTATTTCTTTATTTCATTTTGCGGCGTTGTTAGTCGAATCACATTTTACTGACAATCGTTTCGCAACAACATCGAGCTCACGCCATGATATTTTGTTAATTATCGTACCGCTCGTTATTTGGTTATTTCGAAACGAGATTTGCGGAGCTTGTACTCAATTGAAAAAGCTTTGTCTCCGGACCTTCTAGCACAAAGCTCGCCTCACGCAATTATACAATACAAACGTATATATATATCGGCGCTCGATTTTAATGCCGTTACACGCTCGGATAACGTACAGCTATTTTACTTACGGTACTCCGTTTCATACGATTTCGCGGATATTAAATTATAATTATTTCATAAAGGAAATATATTTCGAGATCGAGGTAAAACAGAGCTCGGAGAACGGTTCGATCGACTTGATCCACACGTCCATAATCTTTGATGGGTGTTGGATCCCTTCGAAATTTCTTCTCCTTCAGCAAATGCTGTACAATGAATAAGTTCGACGGGCGAGTCTTCTCTACTCGCGGTGGATCATATCATCCAGTACAAAATAATTTTTTGGAATTTGTCTTTTCCGTAATTTTCCGAAAAGTCGATAAAGAGCAACGAATGCCACAAGTTGAATGCTACGTCGTGATTCTTCTTCCCTTTCTTTTTCTTCGTCCATCCGATTACATTTCAGCCTCGACTGGGAGTAGTGCGTGCGGCTCCAGGTAGTCGGCTCCGTTCTGTCGTATCGTGCATTCCCGAATGTTACGTCTGCGGGTTAGTCGCACCACTTGTAATACGTCTGTACTCTACGACTGTACTATATATATATATATATGTATATATTCGTTTCCATGAATTACGTATCGCACAGGTTGGAAAGGTGGGCAAGTAACCACTTTCTTCTACTGAAACTCCTAGTGTGCTTCTCCAAGCACGCGGGTAATCATGGCAATTAAGCAAATGAGTTTTGCGTCGATAACGAGGGCGTTGCGCGGCTCGGCAGAGACAGAATCGTTTCGCGATCGCGGCCAATTCACCCTCACGAGGTTTTTCTACCTTCTGTTTTCGTACGTCAACCCTTCGGTCGGCATCTTCTTTCTTTTTTTGTTGTCGTCGTAACGACAGTCTGACCGACGCCGTCAGTCTGGTGGTTGATGGAGTCCTATTTCACCCTTTCATTCTTCACTCTACCGTCGTCGACAAGATTGATATCGAGAAGTTGGAACGATCGTATCGTATCGTATCGTATCGTATCGTATCGTATGGCCGTTTTATTTCCAACGGGTCTGCACATCGGTCTGTTATTTCTCTCGTTGCGAGTGTCGATTCGACTCTCTTGCGACCGGCAATTTCGTGCTTCTTGCTCCGTGCAAGTTACCTCGCCGGGTAATTTGGTAATTTCGTTTCGACCCTTCTCGCGCCCGGCCGACGAAGAATTTCGCCGGTGTGGCGTTGGTATAATTATTCGAGAACGAGTTCGAAGGCTTGCTGCTCCGGCGGGAAAAGAATACGTTTAATCGCGGACACGAAGAACGCGAGTAATTCTCCATTTTGCTTAATGCCTTTTCGACGTTCGGTCTCACGGTCGCCTAAAAATCGTTAGCCACCGCGAAATTAGTTGGAGATCCTCGAGGCTGCTGGCGCAGCGGGTAACGGCGTTCCTTTTCGAAATTGCACGGCCGTGGCCTGGAAGGAAGCGAAACGCGAAAAAAAAGAAACCCTAGTGAAAATGTAAGAATAAAAGTACACGCAATTAGAGGAGCAAACGAATTTCCTACAGCGATAAATGTCATTGCATTGCATGTTGCAGGGGGGAGGTTGCGCGCGTTAAAAGTAGTCTGCATTGTTAGGAGGAACTCGACGAGACTCGTCCCTTTTTGCGAGTGGATTCTGTTGGCGACGTGCAACCCCCGAATACACACGGGCAGACTTGCGTTTTACGACTTGAGGAACTAGATATCGGTGGGGTACCTTTATCGACGCACGGCCCGTTGAAATCCTCGTTTATTGTTAATTAATGCGTCTAATTGTTATTTCATGCGGAATAAGTATGATGTATGCGGCCCATTACGGGGCAAGTTTGTTCAGAGGAAATTGCGAAACAACGTTGTAAAAAGTATCTCTCTGTCTCTGTTCGAGGTGGAACTCGTTTGGCCGCCTGAGATGACTTTTTTATCACCTTCGCAGTGGATCGTTGAGAACGCCCATCGCGCGTTCCCTTCGTTTTTGAAGATGTAAATTTTCTTGCTAGCTAATGCCCGTTAGTTAACTGCCACGGTTCGTCAACGAGCACCGAAGAATTTGTCGGAGCTGCAAATTCGTTCTCGTTGTTTACTTAGAATTCAATTAAAGATCATCGCGCTCCGACAATTTTTTTCAACGCCCATTGTAATTCGATTTCTACGTGAAGCTAACCAACGAATCTGCCGCGGTTGAAATTTTTACGGCGTTCCGACCGACGTACGTCGCATCATCTCTGGTATTATTCGACGGGAGAGGACGTCGATCGTACATCGTTCTTGTAAATTTTTAAAAAGAGCCATCCAGGAAAGAAGGAACGGGGCTGCGTGCTATCCAACCGCAGAATATAAAACAAGCCGCACGGTGCGGCGTTCCTTCGTGGATGTCGTGTCCGGCCATTCGACCCTGCATAAATTTTCGTCAAACCAATTTCTTCCGACTGTTCCCCTCCTAAAAGGGGAGTTTCTTTCAAAACGACGCTACCTTATTCCGTGTTACGTGGACAATTCTCCGGTCCTTCGTCCACAACTATTCCGCCCTTTCAATTTCGTGAAACAAATCACTTGCCATTCTTTGAATTGGCATTTATCAACATTCACGAGCATTTACAACTTTTTTGCATTTGATCGTAGTTGAATTTCGAATCATCGGCGTCCTTAAGCAAGAAAAAAGGGAAGAAACAGCAAGCGTACAAGAGACGATTTCGCGAAACGCGCTGCTCTAGAGACACATTAGCCCCCTTTCGTCAGCAAAATAATCGAGCAGTTTTGAACGTACGATGCCTTTACCATTTACAATGTCAGACATCTTTAACAGATGGAGTTCTCTCTCGCTTAACTCCGACACGCGTTATTGCACTTAAGGAGGAAGTATCTTCCAGCTCTTTCTTTGCCCGTTGCTTCGCATCTTTGCTTTCAACCGCCTGTTCTATCCTGTTGGTTCTCGACTACTGCTGCGGAGAACAGGCTTCATTATGCTCCCATAAATCACGGCCAATGTACCTTATATGGATCGGACGAGCGCGCCACCGGGTAGGCATCGCGCTATTATTAATTACCATCGCCGCGCGATACCAATAAAAACAAGGGTGTGCGAGGTGTGGTGAAAGTCGCGCCGAGGGAATACAAACCTATATATCGCAATATTTTATCGTGGAAATTCTGCATTCGAATAGTTTGGCCGGTGATCGATAGGATTATCGTCTCCTCAGTTTTTACGTCGGTTGTCAGTAATCTGAAAGGACATTTATTTCGGTGGACGTGTGGAGAATTTATCCCGAATATCGAGTTTAACGAAATAATTCTCCACCCAGCCTCTCCCCGCCCCTCCACCTCTTTGGACGGTTTTATGGACGAGGGGACTGGGCGAGCCGGACTTCTTTATTTCGGAGGAAATTCTCATTAAATCAATCAAATCGGTTCGATCGCTCTGCCGAATCACATCGTTGACGAATACTTGTGTCGGTGTGCATAAATCAGCGGTGCGTTTGACCGTGCACACATTCTCTCTGTTGCTTCGTCACTTTGACAAAGGAGGAAGGGTGGGGGGGGGGGGTTTACACCAGCGGGCGCGATCGAAAAGCACGTAGAGGCCGGTCGCCTCGATCAAAATATCATTATTTCCGTTTTACACCCTTCGAAACTCGATAATGCTTTCCCGTAATTGACTCGCCTCAATGAATGACCGCGGCATAGGTACTATCGTCATTGTGGGTAATGACAGGATTAAAACAACGTTCGGACCAATCCGGCTGGCATTTAATTATTAGCGGTGCCTCCCACTCGCGTGACATCGCTCCCCCTCCCCCTCCCCCTTCCCTGGTTGCCAGGA